TTTAGGTCCGTGGCCCGGTTTAACGTGCCTTGGACGCCCAGATATCGTTCTCTCATTCATCTTCCCGGTTATATAAAGCATCCTTCAGGTCTTGATTGAGTATATAATATACGTCTTCCACCAGCTGCCGTGCATTCCCTGTCGTTTCCTGTTGAGAAATATAGTCTAGACTTTGCATCCTGCCGACGGTTGCGGAGTCCGAGAGTATTCTTGTCATCCCAACAGCGAATCCACCGATAATCCTTCCACTTTTAGTTTGCTCTTCTCGTTTTTATAGTGGCGTTCTCCACAACCAACTGGTGTTTTTCCTCGCAGGCACATTCGCTCGCAGCGCTTTATCGTATTGTTTTCGCGGCCCTGTCAAGTCTGGCGAGATCTGCTTCAAGTCAATGACTACTTCGTGAAATATTTATCATAAGACACGGGGTTGACACTGGTATTTCAGAGGCTCAGGGTCAATTCTCCGGGAATCAAGGCAGATATCAAGGCCTATCAGATCCAGAGAGCACCTTGACGGTACCTGACGTAAGCCTCATAGATCTGGCAATTGAGGTGATATGGGTGGGTGTCGCGTGACTCATGTCATTGAACAGGGCCATGAGACCAGACTGAGTAGGCGCGGTGTTTGTAGGATGCGCTAGTCTTTGCAGAGACGCGGATACTGGAGGATCCGCCTTACAGTGTTGATTCGGCCCGACGCGGTGCCGCTTTTGGCGCATTGGCCGGGCACGCATGGGGGAAAGAGTCCCACTTGAAACAATTACTCCAGCATATGATCTCGACCAAGTACGATGATGTAGACTTTATTAACTCCATACTGGTGATTAGACATGCTCTGTACGCAGTACACATGAATATATCATATGCGCACCGTTTGGCAGGCATGTATGATGTGCATGCCCACGATTGGCAGTTCTGCATAACCCAAGCTGGGCTTAGTGGAATCTATTGACAAATGCGCACTAATACAGTCAGTCGACCTTGGAGTCGTGTGCCTATAAATACTAGCAAAGAAGAATCCATCGCATTGATGATTCTGCATTGAGAGAAATCTGACAGAGCAGCTCAAGCAGTGCCTTAGAGTGGGCCTCACTCTAAGCCTCAGGATGGGGACTCCGCCTTAGCTCTATGTATAGACGAGTTAGTACATAGTAGGTAGAAACTCATGCATGTGAGGAAGAATGCCGAGCCAATCTCGACCGAGCTTACTAGAGTAGGATAGCGCGGTAGAGCGGGAAAAGAAAAGAGCAGACAGACAGCGTTAGTGTGCACATAATTATGCGGTCAGATGGGTTCAGATTACGACCTGCTGTGCCATGATGAGAGAATCTGGGAAACGGTGGATGTGGGACAACGACCAAGATTGTTGCGCCAACATCGCCTCCCTTGACTATTGGCGGGATTTCCGATCCAAATATAAACTTCAATCTTCCAACCGAATCACCCCTGTTAGTTCTGTGCATTCAGAATCAAAAGACTGGCTAAAGCTCTCTCGGACAGATAATTAAGCTCTGGACTCCCGGGAAGCGGCCCCAGGTCCATCCGGCCGAGCGTGAAGCAAAGCAACTAGTAAAGCTAGGAACTGGCAAAGGATGGATGATAGGTTCCATGCAAGTCGGCTCCATTCAGCTGGAGAATTCGCGCACAATTCAGTGGTGGCTCAGTGGTTGGTATGCTTTAAAATTCCAGTCAGTCCAATCAAGGGGGGGGAGCTGCAGCCTGTGCTTCTTCGGTGGTCTGCCAAAAGTAATATTAGTCTGTCAAGAGTAAGAAGTTAAGGGTAAGTGGTAGTGCTGCTGCTGCTGCTGCTGCTTGGTGTCCTCCGGTCTTCCCCCAGCATCCATACTTCCTCCTACCGACAAACTAACGAAACTAACCTGAAAGACGACTGTCTCCGCCGGATTATACCTATCAATTCAGGGACTACTTCGGGTCCTACCTTTCACCATTCGTCCATCCCACCAGTCGATACCCTTGGTCGTCCTGCATCTTCCAAAGTTTCGTATATATGGCGTCCGGACTAAACCCCGGTTCTCTTTCTTCTCCCAGATTACGACCTCGGGCTGCCACAACAATGCAACCGACCACCACGTCGACATTATCTTCACGTCGCTCGTCGCAAGTCATGGCTCCTTCAGTCGCTGCATCTCTACCGAGCACTCATACAGCTGCAATCCCAACCGTCAGCGACCAGACAAACAACATGTCTACGTCGGGTAAGCCAATGACCATGCAGACAAAGAAAGCTGGAGAGCAACTTGACTGACTAGCTCAAGGTCCACTTCGTCATCCCAAACCGCTCACTCCTTCCGATATCCATTCAATGCTCGAGCAAGAGCAGGAGGCAATGGTACGACACGTTGGATCCTTCCTTTATTGAGTCTATGCTTACTCTATCCTACTCTAGGTGAATCGCTTGTCGCGAGAGCTTTCCCTCCTCCGTCAACAAACGAACTCGGTCGCATCGACAGCCTCCTCGACATCCACCACCCTTAACGACTCGGTAGATGGGCACCATGCATCGCCATACATTATCAGCACTGCGCACCCCACATCATCGCGAAGACACCGCTCATCCTCCAGCTTGAGCTCCTCCTATATCCCAGCGGTGCAAGGCTCGAGAGCGGGAAGTGTTTCCGGCATTGCTCCTGCGCGAGAGGCATACCTTCCTGCGACACGTCCTGACCCCTCGCGACCGGGGCGAAGCAGGGAATCATCGCTCACCTCCCATCGGCAATCGGAAGGGGCGTTGCCATCAACGCCAGGATCTCATCATCAGACACAACCGACTGACCACCCAGCCCATCATGCGGGCAGCTATCCGCACCGCAGCTCGCTGTCCCAGCAGAAGACGCCCAGTATTAGTTCTACAAGCCGCCATGAAGAGGTCTTGCAGCAGCGCGGAGAAGTCGATTCGCTCAAACGCGAGAACGAGATGCTACGCCGACGTGTCCGAGACCTTGAGTCCGTCATCTCAAAGATTCAATTAACGGAGTCGAATCCTTCTCATCTGAGAGACGACAACTCCCCATCTACACCTACCCCAGACTCAAAAGAGCCATCCGGTACGGAGACTAAGGAATGAGATGGAGATGTCGAAAAGCTTCTTTGGCTATAGGCTGGGTGCTATGGATGAATTACGGAAAGCAGGATCTTTCAGCCGTTATTTTATTCGCTTTGCTTTGCCATTTTTGGGTCTGTGTTATTTATTTACTGCTAGGTTGTTCGGGCGCACATCTCGGTTTTCTTTTTCCGGCTTTGCTTTTGCTTCTGCGATTAGACGCTTTGGGCCTCTGGGGAAAATGCTACTGCCTGCCAGGGCGGACCTATAGGGAGAAGACACTGGTACCATCTAGATAGATCATAGTCCAAGGATGGTAACACTAAGAATGTTTCAGTTTCACTCTGCACTCCTCCCTCCCACTTTCACCTGTTGTCTTTGAATGGCCAACGCGGCCGTGGCCCACTGTGGCTGTGCGCGAGACTGGCTGCCCCTCGCGACGTCATCTGTGGCGCCTCTAGGCCCGCCCCCTAAACACGAAACATTATCCAGTCTTCTTAAATGTCAGCTCTCCTCCTCTCCTCCTTTCTCTCTTTTCTCTTCAGACTTATAACTCTACTCTCTGAATAATATACCATCTACATCTATCCCTCTCTACCTTCTTCCAAAACACACCTCATACAACATGTCTGAACGCTCCACCGTCCACGTCGAGGGCATTGCGCCCGCAACCACCGACAAGGAGGTCCAGGACTTCTTTAGCTTCTGGTATGCAATGCAGGCATTTCAAACCCACCCCTTGCATGGATTGCACAGCTGACAACCTTGCAGCGGAAAGATCACCCACATTTCCGTGACCCCCGTTTCAGGCGAAGCTGAAGCCCAAAAGTCGGCCACCGTCACTTTCGAAAAGGAAGCGTAAGTTACCCCGCACCTTACCCGTCATTGTCGCCAAATGACACCATCACTGCCTCTACCTTTCCAAAGTATCAAAGCTAACCAAATATCCCCTGCAATAGTGCTGCTAAGACCGCTCTCCTCCTCGACAACACCCAGCTTGGTTCCTCCCTTGTGCACGTCAAGGCGGCTCAGACCCTCGACGACATCGCCGGCGACCAGGCCGCCAGCGCCGGACAGGCCAAGGACGAGCACAACCACGACCTCGAGCAGGAGGACAAGCCCCGTTCTCGCATTGTAGCTGAGTACCTGGCCCACGGCTACACCCTCAGCGACAATGCCATCCAGAAGGCCATCGCTCTGGACAACAAGCACGGGTTCTCGTCGCGCTTCACCAGCGCTCTGTCCACCTTCGACCAGAAGTACCACGCCACGGACCGTGCTCGTGGTCTGGACGAGAACTACAAGCTCAGCGACAAGGCGACCACTGGCTGGCGTAATTTGAACCACTACTTCGAGAAGGCCCTCGACACTCCCTCTGGCAGGAAGTTGCGGGACTTTTACTCCCAGACCAACAAGCAGGTGCAGGATATCCACACCGAGGCTCGCAGACTTGCGGATCTGAAGAGCGGCAAGTCCACTACTGAGGGTGGTGAGGCTCCTGCCCCCAGCACAGCACCTGCTACCCAGCCGGCGGGTACTGCTGCTCCTGCTGAGCAGGCGTAAGCAAACCAATTTCCGATTGGAAATCTGAAGAAAACAGGATTAGGGGTAATGAGCAACGAGGGTGTGGTTTCTGTCTGTATGCCATAATGACTTGACCTTTATTCAGTTCATGTAATGCTTCAGTGACAAACATCTTCTTTTTTGCGATAGCTAGCTGTCTGGAACAAGCGATACCTCAATACCAATACCAATCAATTTGATGCCATCCTCCTCTCCCCTCTTCCTTCTCTCTTTGTAATCCAACAATACAACCTCAAAAAAGTAAACTCATTTCACTCATCCCAATACTATACCGTACTACACTACACTACACTACACCACCGAACCCCATAAAAAGAAAGTAAAATCACAAAAAATAATATCATATCATAACCATATCATAAATACATTCATTTATTTCACTTCCCAATTCTTTACCCCCATCCCTAAATATCTTCCAGAAGAAGAAATAGAAAGAAAGGCTAGGTTAAGCCACACCCCCCTTCGAAAACTTCGCACTCTCTATATCCTCCAACGGATGCTTGGGGTTACTCGACAAATTCGCCGTCTGGGCCGCCTGGTCCTGGACGTCGTGTTCGGGCGGCGCATATTGAGGCTGGGCTTTGCCCTGCGAGGGAGGGTCTTGTTGCTGGGCGCCGGATTGGCGCTCGGGAGAGGGGGATTGGCGGCCGGGGTTGGGGGCGGACATTTTCTTTAATTCCTTTCTTTTATTGCTTTGAAGGACTAGAGTGGGTTTGTTAGGGTTTTGGTGTTTATGGGAGTGGAAAGAGGGGGAGGAGGGGACTTACTGTAGGTAGGTAGGTAGTTTTAGGTAGGTTAATAGTGGGTATAGAATGTGGTATGTAGATAGATAGATAGAGGGAAGAGGAAGGAAGGGTTTAAATATCAATTCTCTCAGGGTCCAGATTTTCCAACTTCAGTCAGCTATGATATAAACCCAGGCCAGTCAAGATTATGTGGCATTGGGGTGGTGGATAAAGTGGATGGAAGTGGTTCTGGGAAACATCATCATGACGTGTAGGTAGGTGGTGATGGATGGCTTTTGTAAAAATGGTGGTTACGTAGATACTTTGTTTCATCGTGTGGGGGTGTACATAGTATTATGTAGTATTGATAATACTTAGTGGTAAGTTATTAGTCTATTCTTTAGTCTAAGTATTAGAACAGCTAGAACGCTATTCTATTGTATATTGAATGGCAGCTTCAGTTTATGATCGATGATGAAGATGATCGGTCTTGGAGGCGATGATGTCATTTCTATACCGTATATCACGTGATAATGCTTATGTAATGATATACAGGGTGTTGGATAACTTATGTAAGGATTCATCAAGTTCTGTGATGTTTGATTGACATTAGTCCCTATGGTGGAGTAGTTCTGTTGGATGATTCTGGCTTAGCCTTACGCAAAGGAAGTTGTCATGTATAGTTGGACTGCGAGGTCTACGTACTGTGATCATGATAGAAGAGTGCTGTGTTGGTACAATGAATGAATATATATAAAGACCATGAATGCATAAAGTTATATACTGCTACTAGTGACTAATCTACGTAAGTCTGTGAGGTTCGGAGGGCTAACATGCCTGGTTTTTATTTGTCAGTAGTTATTTAAATAACAGGTCTCTTAATATCAAGCTATTGTGGATAAAGGGCATTCATTATATGTATGTAGCTATATCAGTACGAGGATATGGTGATGGCGAGATCATCACAAGTATTTTGGAACTATACTGTGATGGCAATACATGTATGGCACCGTTTGTAAATCCTAACAGCTGAACACCGTCAGGCCACTATGTAGTAGAGATAGACGACTTCTAACATCTGTCTGGCTGGCAGTTTCATGGCCAAGAATTTGAAAGGCTAGTAGCTTTATATCGCAGGCTTTGAAAGAGCAACTTGCTTCATGCTAGCCAAACGGCAATCATTCACAGGAGTATCACAGTATTTACACATTTCTAAATGCCTCACAAGGCACGGACTCAAATTACTGCAAAAAAGCACGCGCTGCCCATCGGCCACCATACAAAGAGCACTGATCATTCATACTCAGCTGCAGGTTGGCAGAATGCATAAATATAGCCTTCACGTTGTCCGACATTATAACCATAAGTCAATTGACAGGATTAATTGGGGGGAATCGATTCTCTTCGGATTTGCAGCACCACTGCACTCGAACATTGGGGGGGTAAAAGGAACTTTTGGGAAAATAACCGGGGACATCACCAGAGGGTTAGTAAAAACGTCAACGGAACAGGAGACAGAAAAAAGAAATTGTTCTAAATGACAAAGGAAAAGAAAATAAGAAAAGGCATAGATGGCGTTATAACGTATCCAGCAGGCCGCTCGACAACACTAGCCGTCGCCACGACAGATGTGAAGATTTACAAGCCTGCGAAAACAGACATCCAACCTGGGATGGCATTTTTCTTTTTCTTCTTTTTTGAATTTCGTTGCGATGTTCGTTGCCTCGAAGAGACCGACTGGCTCGTTTCGTCAGCCCTCCGGGTTCATCGTAGCGCTTCTAGTTCCCATTGGTCTGGACACCAGCCGCCTCGGCGTTGGCCGCCGCCAAAGCCTTCGCTTCAGCCTCGTGGAACACGGACTGGAGGACTTGCTGTTCCTCTTGGCTCAGGATCTTCGCAAGGTTTTCGTAGAGCTGGGGCTGTTCTTGTTGGAGACCTATTTCATTGTCAGTGGCCGTACACTACAAATAGTCGAACATGGACGTACTCATAAGAACGTGCTTGAACATGCCATAAGGCTCAACCTTGTCCAGAGGGGTCTCCAGCAGGCTCTCCTCATCAAGGTCATCCTCGTCTTCATCGGCAAAAGAGCCGAACTTCTGGGCCTATATAATATGTCAATGGTGATCAACCGAATGCCAATTTGATATAACTCACCTCCTTGTTAAGGAAGTCAAGGTAAGCGGCACTGTCATCGGGGACATCGCCCTCCAAGAGCGCCTCAGCCTCATCCTGCTCGGTCCACTCAACCTCGCCATCCCAGTCGTTCTCCTCATCACCTTCGTCCTCTTCCTCATCGAAGGTGAAGTCCGACTCCTTGGTGGCATCCTCACGATCTATAGCAAAATTAGTACACTTGTTGACATAGTTAGGCTCAATTAACATACGCTTAATGGCCGCCGGCAGGGTCTGGAAGAGCCTGGTCACTCCCTGGAGCAATCTGGGCCAGCCTTGCTGCACGCTAGCCGGGACATCATTGGCATTCAAGGTCAACAAAGAGCTGATCGCGGCGATCGACAGCTTCTTGTCGTGGACTCTGCGGAAATTGTCGATGTTGGAGAACCAAGTGCTGAAGAACTTGTTCGTCCAGCCCTTGGCTTCCAGAACCTGAAGACTGAGAACAGGGTTGTAGTAGATGGCGTTGATGACCATCTCCATCAAGTGGATGCGGTAAGACTTCGTCCGGGCCTCGCCGGCGTCGATGACGCGCATCGCCAGCTCAATGAACACGGGGATGTATTGATCGATGCCACCGCGGAGGTTCAGCATCAGCGTCTCCGCGAGCTTGCAGCCGCAAATCCGATCGACACCACCGACCTTCTCATCTTGGAAGATGTCCTCAACCATGCTGACAACAGCGGCAAGGTAAGCAGGAGTCTGAACCATCGTTTGCGAGCCGTAGGCAACATAGTTGTCCAGGGCGGGAAGCATGTCTTCCAGGTACAGCTCAGCGCCAGCCTTGAAGGTCTTGTGGATGAGCTCAAAGGCCTGCCACATCGTGGGAGAGATGGACTTGGAAGCGAAAGTGCAGCTGTCAATGATCTCAAAGACCTCATTGTAAAGGTCATAGAGCTTGTTCTCAAGGGTGATGCTGATGACAGGCATGAGGATCGTCTCGAGGTGGAGAAGGACATCGGGTGTGCTCTCCAAGGTCAGGATCAGGGTTCCGATCGTTTGCAAGACACCCAGAGCGGTGATGCTCTTGTCATCCAGGAAATCACCGTACGCGTCCTCGTCACCCTTGGCCGCATTGCGCTCCAAGAGCTCGCCGACGATACGCATGTAGGTGTCACGAAGCTGCTCGCTGAGTGCCACAGCGAAGGGAGTGAGTTCGGCGGAGAAGACCTCGACAAAGTCCTCCATGACATTGGCCAGAGCATCCACATCAACCTCGTTCGCGAGCTTGAGCAGCTGCTGCATGATCTGGGGAATGTTCTGCTGCATGGAAGTCCTGATGATATCGTGACGAATAAGGGGCTGCAGAGCGAGCGCGGCCTCGACTCTGACGGGCAGTTCGGAGTCAGTCATAGACTCAAGGATGTTACGGTAGATGATCATCAAATTGTTGGGATCCTGGAAGTCCAGAGCTTCGAACTTCTCCAGAGTGTCACAGGCACGAGCCCTGAGGAAACCGTGGGGACTGCGGAACTCGGGGAAAACATGGCGGACGAAGAAATATTCCACCTGGTCCGCAATGGGGCTCTTCTTGCCAAGGATGACAGAAGCCAGAGAGCCAATCATGCGCAGAGCACCCTCCTTCTCCCTGGGCAGCTTCTGGTCATCGGGAGCAGACTCGTACTTGCTGACGACGCTGTTGACGAACGTAAGGATGGAGAAGGTTTGCTTCTTGCGGTTCTTGGTAAGGGCCACCAGGAAGTTGGTAGCGGCAACGTCGGGGGCCGAAACTTCCTCGTAGAAGTTCAACTTGCGGTGAAGGTACTCGGAGGGATCGGTCTCGAACAATTCAATGTCCTCATCGGACTGGCACAGGATGGGGAAGATGAAGTGAGCGATCAAGTTTTCCATGTGAGGCTTCAGGTGCTCCCACATAGCCTTCGGCTTGACACACTCCTCGAGGAAGATCATGGTGTAAGCAAGCGCGGGGTTGCTGAGCCACTGTCCCTTGGACACCCACTTGTCGATTTCCTGCAGGTATCCCTTGAGAATTTCGGGGGCGAAAGTAGTGATGAAAGCCTTGCCGTACTGGGTGTAGTCGGGAGTGCTCGACTTGCTCATCGTCGTAGGGTTTCCGTACCTGCGAAGTGTGATTAGATGAATGCCCCACGCATACACTGCGCGCAATCTACATACCTGATGAAGAGACGGTTCAGGTTGGCATACGACCACTTCTTGCACTTCCACCAGTGGTTGAGCTCTCTCTCCTCCTTCGACTCGTTCATGGCGCTGGCAGGAGGCTCCTTAGCGATGATACGCAGGAAGAGCGTGCACCAATCCACCGTCGCTTGTTGTGTTTGAAGGTGCGGCGAGAGTTCGAACTATACCACCATCGCATTAGTCTCATTAAGCCACCCATATTGGAAATCTCTCATCTCTTCTTGGTTCACCCACGTAGATAGCATGCTTGTAGGACTTGACCACGATGCGGAGCATTTCCGCCGCCTCCAGACTCTCTTCATCGACAAGCTTCAGACCGATGCTCAACAGCTGAGGGAACGAGTGCTCGACGATCTTATCGAATTCCTCCCTCTTCTCTCCGGCCTTGAATCGGTATACACGGCAGATGGCCAGCAGGCACTGCAAACCAGCGTAGACGGAGTTGGCATCGTTCATGCCCAGCAACTGGAGAGTGATGTCCAGGAAACCGGGCCACTGCTCGGGGAAATCATGCTGAAGGATTTTCTGAAGAAGAGGAACCAGTTGAGCCCGAACATTCGGCGGCGTGGATGCCAGGGCGGGAATCAGCCTCTCACGGAACCCCGGTTTCTCCTCCTCGGGAATCGGTGTGCGCAGCGGACTTTCTTCGACAGGGGACCAACCACGGTTGATGCGGTTCTTCAGGTAAACACCGGCTAGAGAAAATCATCGTTACGTTAGATCATTAACTCTCTTTTGTTGTATGAGGGTGTTGAATGATAAAAAAAAAGGGCGGTGGGTGATCGCCCGGACGGTCACCACAAAAAAAAAAACCTACCCGACAGTTGGACAGCATTGTTCTGTTCCCCCTGCAAAATATCCAAGAGCGCATTTATAAATCCGGGTTGCGTCTCGGCCTAGAGAGAAGTGTG